TGCTGTACTCAAGCCGCTGGAGCCACACTAGCAACGCAAATGAGTAACACAGCACTGAGGAAGAAGACGTGCAAATACTGCTTGTGAGGATGGCCATGCAACCTTGCGAGGGCCCTTTGCAGGATTGTAAACAACTATGAGCACAGATTCCCACCCCCCTCTTTTAACCCACTTCAACAAAGTGTTCAGTAGATCATGGCACACAAAAGGCCTGCACCGTGGAGGATCCAGAAGCATCTAGTCCAGAACAAACACGGATGCTCCGTTGATCGTGGAGTCAACACTCTAAGTGGTTGACGATCTTATGACAGATTGGGCACAAATAAAATCAAAGAAGGGGACGCTTCTTGTCTTTTTAAATAAGCCCAAGGGTGTGTGCCGTAAGGGTGGGCTACAAGTCTAAGTAAGTACGAGTAATAAGGGGTAGCTACCAAGCTAGAAAGCTTCTTAAGCACCAGGATACTGAAGGACTCAGGATACAGAAGGACTCCGGCCTTCTTGGTTCCTAGGTTTCTTATGGTTTTTTGTATCATTTGTCACTGCACCCAGAAGGCCCAGAGGTGGCAGTTCGGCCCTGTTGGCCACGACCTGTGGCAGCTCGGAGCCCACCTTCCGCTGCTCTTTCGTGACCCCGAAAGCCTTGGCCCGACTTGTACAATCCAGGAAAAAGAACAAAGGTCACGAGACGAAAGGATCTGTATATATATAGTCTATGTATAATATGTATATATAAAAATATAATTAGACCTGGGGATAGGCCGCAAGTAGAGGTAGGTAGTAGCTAGGTAGGGAGCTAGTAGAAGCAAACGGTAGCTACTACCTGCAAGTTGGCTCACGCTTCTTCAAGGAAGCTCCTCCCCGCCACCCTAAAGGCGGCGGGGGAAGCTTCCTTGAAGAGGCACTCGCACTAATGATTTGGTTCCTAGATTATTTAGGGAAACTAAACATAACTATCAGGACACATGAATCATCTGCGGTGTCAAACATCGTCACAGCATCAGGGCATCTGCCGTCTGCATCTGTTTTGTGTTGTTTTGCAACTCAACAACAGTGCACAATCACAAACGGCCAGCCACAACTGGGGAAGAAAACTGGTGATACTTCATGCACTAAATCATGCACCTTCATCTTCAATTGAGGGTGTCTCAAACACATTCTCCCCTTCTGATTGGTTGGGGGCCCTGGAGTCTGTGTTCCATCACGGAAGTGCAGTGCTTGTGTTCAAACATGTCATACAATCACAGGTTCCACACATTTAAATCTCCTTAAAATTCCGATTCCGCTCGGCTATTTCACAAGACATTTGGGCAGCCAGTCTGTTCCAAAGTAACCGGGAACTGCCATGTGCACTGTTGCCATTACTGTACATAGCTCCCAAATGCTCCCAGGTGACGCAATTTCCCAGGATGCTGCTAATGTATGCTAATGTTACTGTTCATCTCCTGCGGTTTCCCCATCAACCTACCATCAAACCTCCACATCCCCGGCGGTTTCCCCTGCGACCTCGCCCCCGGTCCACCAGTTCCACCTGCCCGAGCGGCATCGCCGACCCAGCCGCCCCACATGGCGGCGATCTCCCGTGGCGCCGCTTCGCGGCCGAAGGAGCCGCCCAGCGCCACCACAATGTCCTCGAAGAATGGATGGGGGGCTCGACAGCGATAGCCTTACAGTACAAAATCTGTTCTCTTCAAGTCTTCAAGTGTAGAAAAGCACCATGATTTTGTAGTGTGAGGAGGAGGAGGAGGAGGAGGACACCTTTCAATTCCGTACGTCAAACACCAGAGCAAACATCACCACAAGTGTGGGATGTTGTAACATATTGTCCCCATCTTTAGCTGTTTCAAGTCATCTCCACGACGTCCCCGTCCTGCACCATGGCATTCATCAGAGTGGCCACCGGTGGCATCTTTGCACCTGAAAATGTCGTACAGCGACGTTTTCAGGTGTACAGCGATGTGTAGAAGTCGAACAAGTGCGACGTCACCCAATTGGATGACCCGTCTGTCACTGTCACTGTCTGAAGAAGGTGATTCTCTTCTCCGACACTCGGCATGCTGACCTAAGTGGCACGAGTACCTGGGTGCCACCTGGCTGCTGTGCTCAACTCTCCAATGCGAACTCAAGCGCCCTACGCTGATCTAGGTTGTACCTGCTTTATACCAACACCCCGGGTATGGAGATATGCTGCTTCTAACGTCCAGTGTATGATATATATATATACAGTATATGTGTGTGTACGATCAGTATGGGTGAATGTTACGAAGTCTGAGATGAAGAAACTCCCCCAGCCATGATTTTTCCATATTCTTCCGGCTTTGGCTTGGTCGAGCCAGGGTCCTGATCCCAAATCCATTTAGTGAACGACCTCCGAATGGTAGATTCGGAGGATTGAGCTCATTAGCTGGAGGAGTCCGTTTCAGTCCCAGTTTGCATCGAAATGCCTGGGCCGCACCCAGCCGCAACCCAGCCGACGGCCCTGACGGCCCTGGCGGCCCCTCCTGTCCCAGCCTTTCAGGCTCTCTTCCACGGTGACCAAATACACTCGTCGCCCACGGAGCCAGAACCAAGCGACCGCGCCGATCCTGGGCGTCCGGATGGATCTGCAACATGTGGGGGTCCCAAAAGACCATAAATGTATGGTCAGCAATATTCAGCAACTATGTCTTCGATGTTCTTTCCAGAATTGTTCTACTCCATGAAACTATCCGAAACTCATGATCAGATTCTAAACAAGTCTCTTCTGTTTGAATTTGGGTGTGGTTCCATCAAACACTACCAGCACCAGCACATGTGGCAAAATGTGCATGCACAGCGTTTGCAGATGTTTGCAGCCACCATGCCCACCAACAACAACAAAGGCAAGAACAACAACTATAAAGGTAAGAACCAAATCTGTACACATCTGCACATCAAATTGAGTGAGTGGCAATTCAATAATGCTTGCAAAAAAGGTGCATGTGTTAGTCCTGTCAGTTCAGTCTACATAGATTTATCTGTAAAAAATAATGTAGATCAGAGATGATGAAAGGATATGAAAGGCATCTTTCTTGTGTGTGTGTGCCTCCCTTCCCTCTGAGCTTACACCAAGAGGCAGTCCACCGCTGAGGACACAGGCCATTCGTCTCCAGGTATTGGATTCCAGGGCAATCTCCAAGAAACCACCGTGGTCGTAGCCGAACCTCAGGAACAGCCAGGCATGCTTTTCAGGGACACACAAACACACACACACAAGCTGGGCCAAAAGCTATGTTGCGAGGTTGTCAAAGGCAAGATTGATGTAAAGCTGCATGTCACATGTCGAACAATGTATGCTTCTCTGGTTGGGCACCAAAAGGTGGAATCCCTTCGGTCACAACTACAAACTTTGGGCGGTCAAAAAGAGGGACTAGTCAACATAAACCTGAAAGAACATGAAAATATCAACCACCATAGGGCTGGGTGGCTTCGCGCCTCGGCGTTTCACGAAAACCATCAGCGCCACTGGGCCTCCGTGCCCTAAGATCTGCACTTTTCGGATGAGATGAGCGATGAAGATGCCCACTGCCCCGGATCCAACCTCAGCTCATCATGCTGATTGGCACCAGAGCGTATGAATGGCTTGGTGACCCCCAAGCAGGGAAGAGTCATTCCGAGTCATTCTCAGATCAAAGGCCTCATGATGGGTGGCCATGGCGACTCAATATGACTCAATGGGAGCATATCTCAGGATTTCGTCACCGGTGCCAAGGAGCTCCGTGTAGCAGTGTGGCTAAACACATCCAACCAATTGAGCATTTTGATGGAACGGTGATCTTCCCAGACTCCTGCAACATGCGGAACGCTCGGCAGAACCCACTTTGGATTGGTCAATTCTGCCAGACTCGTTGAAGACTCAGTTCGTGCATTCCCTTGACAGGCTAAAAACGTTCCAAGCCACAAGAGTGACGCCTAGCTCAGCTTGCTCTTCAAAGCCTCTAAGATGTCGTCTCTTCTAATTGATCGAATCAGAACCTTCACAACTCTCCTCAACCCCCTTGGCCGCTTCTAAGCCAATCTAGAGTAATAGCCAATCTAGGCCTTAACCCTTGTTTGAGCAGAACTGCCGTAGCTTCACAGGCGGCCGCGGCTCCTCGGACACGATCCTCACCATCCGTGCTGGCCGAGTCCGTGCTGGCCAGAACAATGGATGGATTCGCGAGGTCTAGAAGTCACACCCTCCTCAAAGAAGTGGGCAGTGGTTGGTTCGGTTCATCTGCTCGGGTTGATGTTGGATCTGCCAGTTGGAATCTGGTCCAGAAAACAAATTAGTATAATTCAATTGTCATGCCACTTTGTTTGATGTAGTGCAAGTCCCAAGTCCCAAGTCCTGAGTGTTGCTTCGTGCTCATGCATACATTCTGCGCTGTCTGCTACTCTGTTCAGTCCACCCATGAATCTAATCTATGTACCAGTTGCAGATCCTGAGTCAAAGGCAGTTAAGTCTTCGAATTGTGAACATGCTTCTCTCTCTGTGTCACCTTTTGATCTCCGGGCGGAGCAGGCAGAGCCAGCTAACAAGAGAAAGGCAATTGGCGATCAGTGTTCTCCACCCAACGAGCCCAAGATCACAACCCTTAAAACTTGCAAATTGAACCCGCCGTTTGCATGCGTGTGGAAATAAATGTGAGCAACAACACTCAGTGTACCGAAGAATAAGGGTTTCTGACCTTCTCATCTTTCCTGTGAATGATCCTGTACGTTCCTTGAATGTCATGCCCTAGCAGTCAGTCGCTATAGACAATGAGTCCAAAATATGACAGCAGCAATGCAGCAGCAACATAGATATGCAAATATGCATGATGGTCGGTCAAAGGTAGAAGGATGAAAAAGGCAGCAAGCATGAACATTATGAACAATGCAAGGAGGAGTCATAGTCATAGTGCCCGTTGATAGTTGCTTGCTTGACTCTGCCGTCACAACAGTGTTACTTGTCACCACCCCCTTTGTCCACCCTGACTCACGTTACCCTGACTGGACCCCACCTGCAACTCGCTAATTTCGACTTCCTCGTAGCCGGCCGGGCTGATTTCTTCTATGACTCACATCTTCTTGAGCCAAGGCCGCCTTGGTCCCTTTCTTTCGCCCAGTTTCAACGTTTCACGCATGTTCATCCAATGCCACTCTCCCTTCAGAAAGATCGTGGTTCCCTCTTCACCCAAGTTCTGTGATTCTTTGGGTGTCAACAACTGAACAGACTATCAACAGGTCTTTGCGTCTTGGCAAGTCTGGGCGGCCCACATAAGTCCCTCGTCCTAGTGCCCTCAACAAGGGCTCTGCAGCACGACGTTTCACCTGACGTGCCATTGTCGGAATTCCTGAGGACAACTGGCAAGGGGTACCTAATATGTTATGTATGTGCCTTCAATTGCTGCATTCCTGTGTTACAAAAGCTTCACAAGTTCAACTGCGTCATTATATGTAACTATGATTATATAACTATGTGTGCACAACTCGATTGGACCATGGATCCCAGCAGGGAGGGAAACACTGCGTACCGATGTGTACCAGGAATCTATACAAATACTTCACAGTGACTGGCAACATCTGGCTACTATATTCTTGTGCCATCTGTAAAGCTTTTGCGTTTGGATTCACAAGGAGGTTTGGGGCAGCGAGTCAAAGGGATGTGATGTTAGTAAGCTCTCTACGTGTGTCACCGTGCCGCCACAGCTTCACCCATGATGATCGCACAGATCCCATGATCTAGAGGTGCGATGAAACCATTTGGGATTGTCAATGACCTCGAGGAGCAGTCAAAAAGCCTTCCAAAAGCTTTTTTGGATACCTGGACAAAGGTGATTTCACCCAAACGCCACTTCCGGAAGTCTCGCCCGGTCATGCTCGAAAACCTCTTCGGCCCAAAACGCCCACCGCCCACGCCTTCTCCACCACCGGACCCTCTGCACTCCAAGCCAAATATATGGCCTGAGTCTTTTGGCGGTGGATGGCTCACTTGGATGCTCATCTCCACATGACCAAATCACAAACTGCGAATGGACCGAGACATAGCTGTGCCCAAAGAACACAAGTGGTATCGAGGTGTATCGAGTGGCAAGTGGTGATCTCAAGATATTTCAAGGACTCACAGGTTAATCTACTGAAACCTTGCTGCTGCAGGCTGCAGCGTCTCCTAAGTTACACGGTCCAGCTTGTTTATGACTCAGGATTCTCGGCCGCCAAGCCGTGTTGACCACACCGAAAATCAATAGGAGTCTCATGAGCAAGGCAAAGCTAGGCTCGCCGTGTACCTCGGAGGCGTGGGAGCGTGAAGCAGCGTCACTTTCCGTCAAAACAAACTTGGACCAATGATGCTGCTACCTCTCAATGGCTGCAATTCGACATGAGTCAACGAAATCTAAGTTCATCTAAGTTCATTGATGACATTACAAATTCTGTCAAATTCCCAACTGCTGGTCCCCGCTCACATGTGTGCGCTTCTGTCAGGCTAGATGTAGCCTAAAAGATCCCAAACAATGTTAAACATGATGTAAATATATGTAAATCATGTAAATATCTAACTATATAATATAACTAATCACTGACTGTTCTATGATTTCATTACACCTGCCTAACCAGTATATAAATTAATGCAATTAGAGCAAGGAATGAAGCCACCAGACTGTCAATCTAATCTAAGTTCTTTATGCTCTATTGAAAGAACCACGGGGGTTCAAAGAGTCCAGCGAAAACAGAATGATTCCGCAAGTACTCCAACAGAACATCAACTCAATTTGCCCAGTACATCAACCAAACCAACCGCGGCGCTGCGCTTTTTGCACTCCCAAACTCTTGGCGCACTCCATTCAGGCTGAGCAGGCTCACCTCTCAGGGTGGTCCAAAGGCCATGAGACGTGAGTGAAGTTAAGTGAGGACTGTAGGTTTTGAGGTGCGAGGCCGAAACATACGGAAGCCCGCGCAAGTCTACATGAGCACTTGAGTGAAATGTTGTTCAGCTTTGCAGAGGCATGTTCTAGGTCCTAGGTTCATCTAGGTCCCAGGTGTCGCTCGTGTATATTGGGAGGCCGGTGCAAAAGCAGTTCCAGCTGTACCATCTATGAGAGCACACAGGATTGTACAATCCTGTGCTACTCTTGTTCGCTCTTGTTTTTGCAATTTTGGGCTCATGAGCAAAGGATGCATTGCACGTGTCTTTTGAATGAAACACCGTCACCCAGCTATATAACAATCCCGGAAGCCTCGAGAACCCCAACCAGGCCCCAGCTGGCCTTCTGATCACCAGCCCCACCCCTGCGGTCCATCAAGACAAGCAAAAGCTCGCAATGTGAACTTTGGGTTCAAAACGTTAGATGCTTCCAATCAAGTCGAGCGAGGGCATCTCCTGCTGTCCCCTTCTATGATGTTTGCTCCAGTGCATATATTATTGTGCTTCTTGCGTTACAAACTTAAACACAGTGGTCCCAAGACTGCTTTGTGCTGCAAGTATATGAGCCCGCCAAACCTCGAAGCTACTGCAGTGTCCTGGCAAGCGGTTTTTTCTCGTGAACTGGCCATCACGGAGGAGTCAGTTCTGAGTCAATGTTGGTTGGCCATTACTGAACCTTGCAATGATGTTTGCCCACAAGCATCCTGACGCCCAAATTGGGCCCTGACTGAAATGACAACCACCCTTGCCGTAACTCTGTGGACTCTGCAAGCTATATAACTGCGGAATTGCGGAGTCTTGCGGTGCATTGATTTCGGTCTGTTTGAAGAGATGCACGTTTTGGAGCAACATTGGCAACATGGCAACATTGGTGATAATTTGCTTTGGCCAAAACCAAGTGCCTCGGAACGCTCGCTAGTACCTGAATCAAAGTAAAGTGCGACTGTGCTGTCTGAAAGGCATCAAAAGCCAAGAGTAACACACTGCCCTTCCAGGAGAGCCTCCTGATTCTTATGAGGCTATTGAACCTTTCGAAATGACAATGCCATCATGGCAGGTGTCAATGGTACCCTTATTAATCCCTACTTGAACTGAATCTCGAAGAACCATCGAAACATGCCTATGGTCTATAACCTCCAGATGGCACCCACAGCACATCCCAGTGAAACTTTGGAGATCGCTTGCTGTAGGGCGAGAGACGGCGCAGCTGCTGCCGCAAGCGCTGGTTTTCGGAGCTCAGCTGTGCCTGTCCCGGAAACGTCAATCGGGTTTGGGAAGTGGTCAACGTGGATGAGGAAGGAACATGGGATAATATGGATTCATGCTCTTTCATTGGCCATAGCAAATATGGTGTAGTTGCACCATAGCTTTTTGTCAACACTGATCAAAGGTATGAATACTGCACCACTTGCACAACTCGACGCTAAAAAACCTTCCTTGGGTCGAATTCGGCTACAACAGTTGAGATCCAAACTTTAGGAATTTATTTGTAGTAGTCATAGGAATTCTCGGAAAATTATTGGAACCGGCATAACGCATCATGACTCTTCGAGGAAAGAGATCCTTGTCAAGAGAGATCCTGGTCTCAGGCTGTCAGTGGGGCACACCGTTCCCGCAGTTTCTTCAGCTCTTGCTGCCTCTAATGACCGCACGGCTCCCTCAGTGGGAAGGGATCCAATGTTCGGATCTTTATTAAATGATCTTTCATGTTGCATTTGTTCATATCATGCAGAGGTCATTGTCGTGTGTGTGTGTGTGTGTCACCACCTCAATTTGAGAAGCATTCAGCGGACTGCGTGCCGTGCGCTTCGATCTTCCAGGTTCGACCATCCGGACCATCCCCCCATCTGAGCCCCGGACGATCTTGTTTTTAGATTTTCCACGTGGTGCCTTGCAGTCAGCAAATTCATGCAGAATCCTAACCAAACAAAAGGGAAGCACGGAAGATCACGGAAGCACGTCTGGCACGTCTGGTAAATCACTGGTAACAAAGTGCATCGCTACTAGTAACAAGTGCATCGGATTGGTAGCTAAGTTGCTACTACAGTAGTTGCTAGAAGCTACTAGTAGGAGTCTAACGAGTCTCCTAACCGCGGGGCCCAGCTTTAAGGCCCACGCTTCTCGAAAGGGAGGGCCGTGCAATTCTGCGGACTCCTGCCCAAAACACTCCATTTAAACGAAAGATTGTCGGCTAGGCTACTGAGATCAGAATGACTAACCTATATTTACTAGAGATGCTCTCACCAACTGACACAGTGCTGGACAACCGCAGACTTTTAGTAAAGGATTGCAGAGGCACACATGAATCTCCAGTTAAGATCCTCAAGACCCATTCGTCCATTCATTCCCGGGCCTTCTTGAGATTCACCAGTTTCGCCTGATACAGTGCGTTGATGTGCGCGGACCAACATGACAAACCCATCTGAATTCGATTCAACATCAGTCAGTCAGAATTCGGGACAATTTCAGGAATGCCAAGCGGACAATCAGACTCAGACACAATGGGTTGTGTTGGTTGGGCAATGTGGGGCAGCGAAATGAAAAGGGTCAGTCCACACTCAGCAAAAGAAGAACCTAACATACAACAAGTTCAATTCCAGTGCCCAAATGGTTGTGGCTACGCAGTCAAAGCACACTCTGGTTTCCAGTGGAGTCACCCCACTGATCAGACTATCCCACCTCCAAGACACTGAGTGAGGATGGACTTGCCTGAAGCAAGACTGGTACCAGTAGATGACTGATGTCTAGTCACGCTTGGAAAGAAAGGAAGGCCTAGGAAGGTCAGGAAGTTCTTCGGTCTCATCGGGACCGCCTGGCCCTTGGGGTCGTTGTGCATTCTCAGAGATTCTTCACATTCCCTGAGAAAAGTTTCACAACATTTTTGTAAATGTACCACTGCGGCTCCTTGTTGCCACTTGAATGGCCGGTCTTGGAGCAGCTTTGACCTGCCACGAGCCAAAAAAAGGCAATGCCTGGACCTCGTACGCAGCAGCGCGGGTGAGCAGAAGGGGGAGCACTGCCCACGGCCACCTGAGCACTGGAATCCATGCTCTGTCACCTTGAAAAGGGCATTGCCTTGCTGAGGGCTTGAAGTGTGATCAGCAAATGCTTGCGGCAAAAAAGCCATGGGATGCTCAGCTGCTCCAAGCATAATGAAGGACGCTACTAGTAACAAAGGGCATCGCTACTAGGAGCAAGGACGCTACTACATGCTCCAAGCATAATGAATCCAACAATTTTCCAAACTCCAAGCATCAGCTCTTTCCCCATCCAGTAGCAGTTGGACCATAGTCCCACCTGGTTCGATTTCGGATATGAAGCCCTGGACACACCAGGTGTTGCGCCATGGTGGCTGAGCTTGAGCCCGAACAAATCCAAACGGAATGAGACAGTCGCCAGGTGCAAGCGAGTTGAGTGGTTAAACGTTAAACTGCAAAACCAAACCATCAAAGTGCCTTCAAAGGGTTTGCTTTGAGGGGCATCTTCCAGGTTATGTAAGACTTTGTGAGGTTCACTTTGATGACAAGCGAAACATCATGCCTCAGTATATACATAACCAAGCAAACTTGACGTATTCCGCTCGAGAGATCCACTCACCAATGCATGTACTTGGCTGTCCCACCGCTGTACTCATCCGTGATCATTTCATATGGGGCCGAAATGTGCCTTGCTGCAACAAAAAAACGAAACACACAAACAAAAACAAAAAAAATACACGGTATAAAAAGAACATGTCATGCGCCATAGGCCATAGGCTCTCCGTGTCTTGACGCTCTACCGGCTCTCCATTGGCACCACCGTCACCTGCAACGCTCCGTTTCTTTGAAGTGCTTCTCCACTGTCGCTCTCCTCCGATCTTCGGGGAGACTACGCAGGGTTGGCTTGGACGATGTTCTGAAGCGAATAAAGTTGGAGTCTGGAAGCAAATCGCCAACCCAGCTTTGACTCGAGAGACGACCGGAGCTGGAACCTCACCTGTCTTTGAGGCGGATGCCGGCATCTTTGACAACATAGAAAATTAAATCCACGTCATCACCTTGTTTATTGCCACAGGAGCAGTCTTGCAAAGATCCCCTCTTCGGCATTCTTTAATCAGGGGCGTGTTGCAGTCTTTACGTTGCAGGTGCCAGAGCCCACAAGTATATATCTTCTGTCTGAAGCCCAAGCCTGCAAAAGTGGGCGTCAACCAACAGTTACATAGAAAATTATAGAATATAGATAAGATACATAGTTGACCAAGAACAAATCATTGCACAGGGGGTTGGGTTGAGGCCATTCAGGAGTCACTTTGCAAAATGTCGGGCCTTCTTGTGGGCGGTGATCACTGAATAGGTTTGAAGTGTGGACATACAGTATATAGTGTGGTTTGCAGCTTGTGCCGAGTGTCAGCCAGCAAGAGAGGATGCATGAGAGGATGCAAAGTGCAGGCGATGCACTTCTACCAATAGAGACAGAAGCAAGTGTCATACCTACATACTATATACATGGTCTTGAGATCTACGGGAGCTTCAGTGAGAACAGAGCAGTGGCTGTCTTCTAATGCCTTCCACAACCTGGACTGGACAATGTATGACAATTCAGGGCCTTGCGCCATACTTCAGAGGGCTTAGAGTGCTGCAGAAAAAGCCAAATACTCCAGAAAATCTGTAGGGATGCTATTTGGGATGTCCATTATGTTTCGTGGATCGGCGTAGTTATATAGAATGTTGCACAACAAGCAGTTGGTATTGAGGCAAACAGTCGTCCTGTCTTTTCTGAAAATGCATGTGCATACACTGCTAGCTAGATATTGTGGTAGTCATGGTAAGTGATAGTCGTCATCAAGAGTGATGGTGTCAATACAATCAGATTAACACAGCGAAAGCGACGGTCTGCAGGTGGGATCATGACAGATCCACTATCCATACTTTGCACTCAATAATCCAATGATCTCCAAACCACATAAACCACCGTACTACTAGTAGACATGCAGTATTGCAAGTTGCTTCAAGTCGTTCAATCTCTTGCCACAGCCAAGCCAGTGAAATCAACCGCAGCAGTGACTACACCGCGGCAGCGACCCCACCGCGGCAGCGCCTTCCCACGTTGCATCTCAAAGGCCTGGTGGAGTATGAGGATGAGGTTCTTGCAAGCTGGCCATCTTTGCCTTCTAATTTAAGGTTGGTCGAGTCCAAAAAAGTAAGTACAGTACGCTCTCAACCAATCTGAACTTAACATAGCTTAACTCCGCCAGCGACCGGAAAAGGCTTTATGTACTGTGGTGTTGAAGTCCAATGGTGTCCAATGGTGCATTTCCTTGATCCTCTGGATTCCTTTCGAAGCAATAATGTCTTTGCGCGAGGCCGCGAGGCCTAAAGACCATTCAGATTCAAATCCTGGACTGCTGCGACTTTGTGCCGACTCTCGGAAAGTCTCAATCTATATATATATATAAACATTGAACAGTGGTTTATATTGCAAGGACATTTTAAAAAATACGAGATGACTCAGTTCATGCCTACTGGATACTAATGGCAATTTGGTTTATCATGGTGCAGCTCAAGGCGACCAAAAACATAGAAACATACCCTAAATTTCAGTGTTTCTCCTGGATTCCTTCATTCACACCTCTAAGATGCGTCAAACATTGAATTCCACCACCCCTTCGGGCCGCACTGGTGAAGCCGCCGCATGACATCGCCGCGCTGTGGGAGCCCCGCTCAAGCTCCGGGAGGGCAAGACCACCGTCCGGGAGTTGAGTTTCTGCGTGATCCCTACAAACAGCACAGCCGCAGGATCCCGGTTGGGAAAGGCAATTGCGGAGTGGCAAGAAGCTACTGGGTGGAAGCCAGCCATCCCTATTGGGTGGGAGGCCATCGCTACTAGTAACATGAAATGAAACTACTAGCAACAATTTGTTGCAGGATCCTGGTTGTAAAAGGCAAGTCATCGCTCTGAGATGCTCTGAGGTCGCACGCCACATGGTGTTTGCCAAGGTGACTGGTGTGATGAGTGTGTATGCCAGTTTGAAACCAAAAACTCCCACAGAAACAGCAAAAACAGGCGCAATGTGCATAGTATAGAGGTTGGTGAACACCTGTGAATATGTATATGTCTATGTCAAAATTATATACTTGCTTAAGCTGTATTCATTCAAAGTTAGGACGTCCCGTGTCGCTTTCCAATGTTTGGTAGAATGAGCGCTGTATGCAGATGCAGTCAGGTTTTACTGTACATGTTTCGCATGGTGGAGTCCTGCCACCAACAATGAAAGTCACGGATCATAGCAAAGAAAACACAAACGCACAGACAATAAGACACAGGAACCCCTATTCGTGGTCATTCATGATCTGAGAGCATCCGCTGCAAAAACTGGAAGTGTGATAAGCTCTTTGAAGTGAGGAAGGACGACAGCACGAGGGCTGCTCCAGCAAGCGCAGCATTGCTGGCTTCTGCCGCTCATTTGCTGATCTGATCTCTATCACTAGAAGACACAAGCCTGCCTGCGCCTTTGCAGACTTGCCCATTGGGCACTGTCTAAGGAGCTTCCCTTTTGCACTCTCTCGTGTATTGTTGGGAGTATTGTTGGGGTATGGTTTTGGGATATCGTATCGCTTTATGATTTTGACTTTTTGTACACTTTTTGCGTGCTTTATGACATCAACCTGCTTGTAAGCACACGTGCTGCGCTCACGCTACACCGAAGAGAAGACAGCCCCATTCCAAACAAACACAGGCAGACAAAGGCGTGTACCTTGTTCAGTGGTGGAGCCCGGGCCTAGCCTTTCCTCATAGGCTGGGGCCACAGCCCTCCAAATACAAGCAATCACATTCCCCAATTGCCCGTGGCACTTGTAAGAACAAACCAGTTCATGAAGGATGCCCTTCAGACCCTTGACAAATGCTCAGAAGAGTTGCTGTAGCAGGACGACACACCAACATGAACTGAAAAACCTCAAGGAACTAATGCATGTAACAATAGGAGTATCGCTTTTTTGACGTCTGGTGTCGTTTTCCAAGCAAAACCCGAAATCACACTCTTGGATGAAACGCCCTTATCCCTTGTATAAAGATGTATAAAGTAAATGACGATAATGTTGAAAATGACTCGTATAATGATACCAACTGCAACTCTAGAACCCTGACTCATCCTTGTAAGGGTTGAGCAAATGGCAACTTGCTGCACCATGCACGCGCACTGCGATGGGTGAGGTAAAGACTGTTCCCCCCAGCAGGAAATCCGTTCAAACATGTTGTACAGTGGAGCTTCAAGAATTGGGTTGCTCCTAGTGTTTCCAGGCGCAACATACACCTCTACATGATACCAACTGACATTTGAGGACGATCTTCTTGAGAGATTGAGAACCAGCTCTGAACAGAGTTCCCTCCCACTCCCAGCCTTCATTTGGGTCCTGCAGTCACTCGACGCATGCAGTGCCACTTGGTGGGAGAACATGCCAGCAAATACACACCAAACAAAGAACATCGTCTTCACCCACCCAATGTTCAAGCTCAAAAGACACAACCTGCAATCTTCACAACCCTCGTCAGGTTGCTAGTAGACCTATCTAAAGTTTGGAGCCCGGGGCATCTCTAGCAGTTCCTCGACACCTCGCTACCACATCCTGAAGAAGGACAAAGACCAAAACTCGGGTAAACGATCAGTTGCCTCCAGTTAGAGGGAACTCTGCCACTAACGGGGCCTCTTTCAATGACTGAATTTCATTGAAGCTTGCAAAAGACATGCTCCCAGGTGAAAAGGGTCAATACTTGAGTGATGCATACTGGAAAGGTCGAAGAAGCTCACAAGAGATGGTAGCAAGAATGCGGCGATACTCGACACTAACTCGCTATTGTTTGGATGTCCAAGGCCTCTGATTCAGTGATCAGTGATAAACCTCCAGCTGCAGACCAGTACACCAGCTTCAAGCACTGAATGTCACCGCATGGAGAGCCATCCAGCCATTCCTTTGAATCACTACTATGAAATATGTGTATATATATATATAAGTGCCCAGAAGCTACTAGGTTGGAGGCCATTATATACTACTAGGAGCAAGGACGCTACTAGTTGGAGGCCATTGCTACTAGGAACAAGAAGCTACTATATGAAATACTGCGCAGTCCCGCCCAAAGAGGCCTGGCAGTCCAAGTCTTCGTCTCGTTGGTACTGATAACCTGACAAGCACGAGGTTACAGCTGCTCCGTGTAGCGAGTGTGGTTGAGGAGAAAGCATAGTATGAGTAATAGCAACAAGTCAGGCAGGTAAAACTGCCCAAACCCAAACCCCTTCAAGAGAACATCAGCGAGCTGTCCAATCTTGACTTCTTCGTACGGATGGCATATGAAGCATACTTCCGGTCCACACCCAAACTACTGGCCGGCC